GTTTTAAACGGTCGAATTGATACGGCAGCGTGGTGGTTGGACATCTTCTCTGCTAAGCAGCTGCTCCTGCTAACTTTAATTGAGAGTTTGCTAAAGCTTAGTTAAAGAGCTCCAAGCTTTTCCTAATTAAAACAAATGAGCATTTTTTTAGTTGAAGAAGATGAATCATACCTCTTAAAAATGCGCTGTCGATGGGTTGTTCCAGCATTTGCCTACGTGAGGTTTAACCATGGTGGCAGGTTGATGCATTACTATGCAAGAGAAGAGGCAGAGCATCTTGCAGTTAAGCATTCAGAAGGAGAGAGAGATCAGCTAATGCGGTTTTACAAGTAGAACAAAAGTCACAAATTTGTGTCTACTATTGCCTTCATTTCAGTGGTACCTTGAAGCACTCGATTCAAACCCCCGGGACAGTCTAAGTCCATATGTTAAAAATTTGTGGTTTGTAAATTGTTTATTTAGGTAGCTAAGAATTTCTTGATAGCCTGCTTTCATAAAACTGAAGGTTTACCTTAAGACGGAATTAGGATAAAATTAACACACAGAAGCCGCAATAATCCACCTAATTACATGCGAGAACCATGATAAAATGATCATTTGGATCATAATAAAATGACAATTTGTCTTTTGTCCACCACTTTACTTCCTCGTAAAATAGCAGAAAATAAACTTTGGAAACCTATGGGCTTTTAGAACTGGCAGATCTTGGGACAGTTGCTTTTTAAGTCCATCAAAAACAAGGTATTTACACAAATCATGCCACATTTTAGCTGAAAGGACAAAACAACTGGTAGACGGCTTTAGAAATAAAAGAATGATTTTTATAAAATAAATAAGGTAATTTTTTAGGGATTTTTAAAAACAACCAACATGCAGTAACAGATGCATGTATGTATGTACTAGAATTTGGCAAATGGGTAAATATGACGCTTCCTATCAAGGGATATACAAATGGAGAGAGGTTGATGTGATAAATCAAAAATGGTGGCAATTAGTGTGGTGCTTTTGATTCATCTGCGTACAAGAAGATGGGAAACAGCCGAGGCGACCATAATTCACTCTCAAACCGACAGTCAGTCTAGACCAATTTAACGTGCCGCAATTCGTCATAGTCTGCCTTCTTCCGTTCACTCGATGCTTTGGATGATTGCAAGATCACACAGTGGTGATTGGCTTAAATGAGCTCTGAAAACCACTCCAAAGATCACATTGTCTTACATAACACGGGGATTCTTGCGTCACTGGGTCCTGTGGTGATGCACAACTCCCACAAAAAGTCGGTCTATGTATGTGTGCTCCCATAAACGGGAATTACCCAAACGAAGCCCATTTCGCAGCGACTGACAGATTCCACACATCTGAAGGTTGTCATAACTTTGGTGTTAAATGGCAATCACGTCGACATTGACCCCGTATGAATTCGAGGAGCCATCGAGCGATAAAATAATGGAGAATCATTTACGGAACAAGGAGATGGCAACTGAATTAGGATGACTACAAGGTGTCTGTGTTCAAATGCAAAAAGAATTAACACGCGTTTGTTGATAGCTGGTACCGCAGCTTCTCTCTTATAGCGGCCATAAACCATTTTAAAAGCAATTTGAAGTTGTCTGCAATGTGAAATGGAAACACATTTTTTTCTCCTAATGTGGTGAGCGACGGTAGAGGTGGTTTCAAAGATGGTGGCAGTAACCAAACTGAGATATTGGCTTGATTTGTTTTTTAAGAATGAGTAGTTTTTTTGCTTAACTGTTGAGAAAACTGCATGAATAAGTATCTCGACCTAGTGCGCATTCGGAATTTGGATAATTTTCACTGAGCGACTGTCATACTTGGTTTATTGTTATTAGTATGGCGCCTGGAATGTCATTATGCTATCCACAATTCATATGCCCCATGGATTCCCTAATTAAACTCAAGTCCATTATTTGACTACTGGCAAAGGTTATAAAATAAAGTAAAACAGATTAGCATCGCTAAAAGTAGATTCTAATCAAAGGAATTCTGACCAATTTCATTGCTTTGAAATTCTTCCTTACTAAATGTGAGGCTTGAGATTTCCCAAGTGCTAGCATGAAACTTTGCGCTTTTTTGTCCTACCACCTCAACTCAACTTCAAAATTGGGTCCTTTTTTAAGCCTTAGAATCGCGAGTAAAATATCCTTGTTAGAAGTTTCAAGTCCTCTAATTAATTGATAAGCAAGAGTATATGCCTAAAAGACATGAAGTCGCTATTCCTACAGCCAAAGTTGTAATTATCTTTGAGTTGTAGAGGTTTAATGGGCAATACCTTTTTTCTCCTTCCTAAAATGTACACTTCTTCCATTCACTCCATTTTTGGTTTGCTCTGCGAATCTAAATTGAATAACCACTTGGGACTTCGCAGACGCTTTGCTTTAAATTACTAGCCACTACTTTGGGTATGAGGAAGGACCAAACAATAGAAAACATTAAATATGTACCACGAAGAAAGGCCCAGAGCTTGGGAGATGTACAAATCTATACTATCCACACGATGCTTAATCACCTGAAAACCAAGCAAGGGCTTGCCTCATTGAAGGTTGTCACTCCCCTTTGAAAACTTTTTGGTGCTAGGCTGCCAGGTACCTGGGCAAGATTTAGAATGACGGGAAAATCTTTAAAGTTCATCTGCCGTTGACACGTGTCCTAAATCCTGTTTCACACAACCCTGGTGACACGACTGAACCCTTCATCGATTGCCTTCGAAGGCTAATAATGTTTCCCTCCACCGCTTTAGTAAAAAAGCCCACTTCAACTACCCGCCCTCCCCATTCACATCCTATTCCGTAATACAGGAAGAGCCGAACTGAGAAGAAATAGCAAGGAAGGTGCCTGAGAGATTTATATCCTAACAGCTGCGTTTTTGTCTGGTATATAATTTCGTCTAATTTCCGTTCAGGGCTTTCAAGACCCTTCTGCTTATCAGGGTATCATGTAGCACATAAGCCTACATGCTTCATTGTACCTAAATGCGTTCTGCTTGCCAAAAAATGGATCTTCTTTTTTTCTTTAGACTGTGAAAAGTGTCCAGCAATCAAAGAATGTGAAATTGTAGTATGTTCCAGTGAAGAGAGATCGGGCAAGCTTCTTCCAATCACCTCGGAGAGCTGTGAGCTCTCCTGCAGCCAAGTGGACATTAGTTGTCGTCGTTTTCCAAACGGACGTCTGGATTGGTATCCTTTCAATCCATGTGCAGTCACTACGACCACATCCACAACCACTACTACCACCTCCACGACCACAACAGCAGCTGCCCCGATTGACTATGCGCCTCCGTCTTTCGACTATCAGAATGCCCTTGAAACAACAGTCCAAATTCCTCTCTTTTTTCCTTCCGGATCGACTTCTGGGGATATGCTTCATGACATTGAACCCGTTTTCGCACCAGCTGAATCAACAGCTCAACAAAAGAAGCAAAGTTATGGCCTCAGTTGGTTAGTTTCAGAGCCCGAATTAGAGCTTATTTTGTGGGTTATGTTTGGAGTAGCTCTGATACTCATACTTATTGGCTTCATTGGACTTGGTGGTTTCGTGTGCTATCGGCGGTGGATTAAGAAACAAATAAAAATCACCACGTGTCCACGCTATTACGACGCCAGTAGACAACGAGCCTACGGCATAGTGGCGTACGATGCTGGCACCTATGGTCCCGGTCTAGAGTACGAGAAACTTCGAGGCAGCAACGGTACCTGTTATTGGGCTCAAAGGACTGAATCCAGAGAGCCCGGAACAATTAGACGTATTCCTTCTCCGCAGATCTCCATCTGTTCTCCCTTTTGTTCCACAAATCGTCATGGAACAGCCAGAGTGGACCACAACTACGTCCATCACATGTCTATCCCAAGCACAAGCTATCGACTCACAGACAGTGTGGCACCAATTAATTCGGCCTACCACCTAGTAACATTTGCACCTACTTTGGACACAATGGAGGGTTCAGTGACGGGCAAGCCAACGACTTGCATGCAAGATATTTCATGTATCCACGGGTTGGATACTGGGGCACTGAGCTTGGACGGGCATCAGCGAACAGTGCTAACTGTGACACCAGATCGGCATATAACCGGAGGGGCCCCTTCCATGAGCACAACCTCCCCTATTCCCATGGGAAATGATACTTTTCTTATGAGCACTTATCATAGAACCAACAGTTTTCGGAATGAGGTGGGAAGTGATGCTGAACCCCAAGGCGAAATCATTCAGCAGCAACAAACAAAGGTCTAAGTGAAGACTGCTTTCCTCTCATCTTCACGCAGATATGTGGCCCCATAAATAAACAGTCAAAACAAGGAACATGATGACACGTGTACCTGTCAAATGATGCATTTTGTTCTCCTATTCTCGTGCAAGGACCTTCCAAGGTAGGGATATCCCACCTGTTTAGACCTCACCGGATTTTCCACTTATCCCTGTAAAAATACACCTAATCGCATACTGCGATAAAACAAAAGGGTGGGTAAAATCGCCACACCCGTGCTTGTTTGAGTTCCCTGTGTGTAAAGATTAACCTCTTAAATTGTCAATTGAGAGTTCCCTTTATTCAACTAATAAGTAAGAAAAAGCACGGAACTGTCTGATGTAAGTTATTTACAAATGTATATTTGTCAGTTATTAAACTTCCCGAATAACATCATTTTTAGTTCATGAAATTCCGGTTTGGTTGTTTTGCGAGTGGTACAGCTTTGCTGCAGTAAAAATTGGAGTTTATATCGCATTATCAAGAGTAAAAATGGAACAAAATCTTGGAAACAGACAACTGACAACGACGCAGATAAGTACAATTGGTTTTGGAGAATAAACATACCTATTGTTATACCATGTATGCCAGGCCCAATCCAAAGTTACAGCTCATTATTCTCACAGATTAGTCAACAATGTATGAGACCGCGCAAAATTTTTGGCTTACAAATCCCTGTATTGTCACTCATAGGAGGCAAAAATCGACATCTCAAGCGTATGTCTTAACAACTTTTTGATAAACGCGGAAAAATTCACTCTAAATCCGACAGAATATACCTAGCAGATATTTTTTTTTGGTAATTTAAAGGCGACATTTCTTTTTACTGCTGAAGGACAGCGCACTTTGAAGGGTAGCACAAGGGGAACCGTAGAACTTACGCCTTAAGATAGTTTCTCAAAGTCTCTTAAAATGGAACCCAACCAATCTGTTGGGATAAACACTGCACCATAGATTTATTTAAAACCTTTTAGGAGGGTGGCAAAAGTTGCACGTATACAAAATTGAGTTAGAACATTTCTGTTAAATCAAGTCATAGTAGGTTTATTTGCACATATACGTCTGTTTGAGTCATCAGAAAGTTTTGCTTTCTATGCACGGTAGCTCGTTTTGCTGTCAATGAGCGCGTTATTCGACAGTGAAACATAAAATAAATCGCGCGCTTAAAAAAGGTAAGCATATCCAAGTCGACCTTTTGAATGACAAGCGACTTGCGGTCTGGATGATACCGATTTGACGTCTCTTTCTTCCTATTTCGCGTAATGTTTGGCTGGAAAAAGGCAAATGCAAGAAAAGACGACACGCAGGCAATCAGAATACTTTATTTTGAATGAGGCACAAGAGATTCCTGAGAAACTTCTCTGACGCACATTCAGAGGCTATGCACAGTTTTACTTGATCCCATTAAGAAGATTTTGAGCAACTTTCAAGAGGTTTATGGCGTTTATGATCAAGTTAATATTCGACACTTGCTTTGTTTATGAGATGCGTCAATCGATTTGAGCCTACTTCAACTTGACAGATTCGACATTCTCACATCATATAATTAGAGGTAAGCAAAATTACGGTGCTGCCAAGCTGTAAGAAAGTATTTTATCCACAATGGCAACAATTTAGCTGTTTGTTTAACCCTCCGTTCCGATGGTGGACTACTTAGGGGCTCCACCATTATACCTTTGTAGGGCCGTCTGGCCTTCAGGTAGGGTCCGAGTATCCTTAATCCTTTTCTACTTGAAAAAAATACATACTCTGTCCAAGTATTATGCTCCCTTTCGTCTTCAGGAGAGACTGCGGATGCCGCGCAATGTCTTCTACGTAGTCCACTAAATTTCATAATTACAAGAAACAAGCTCACGTGTTCTATCGGCAACACAAATACCAAAGGTTTTTTAATATGTATTTCTGATGTTATAAAAATGTATGAATGTTCATTTGCAAAATAAGACTGTTTTTGCATTTAAAGTCAGTTACGTAATTAAAAGTTAATGAGACGCAAGGTGGATGTAAATGAAGTTTTCCTAGGTTTCATAAAACCTTGAATCCCGAGTAAAACTTAATAAGTGCCTGCTGGACAGGGAACCAATGAAAAAATCATTCCATAAATATTTTATAGCCTCTCTGAAATATCACGAAGAATTTTTCGTGCCTACATGATATAACCTCAGCTATAGTCACACAAAAAATCCAAGGCTAAGCTTCACCAGCGTCGCAAAAGTAGGATGCCATCCGAAATTATTATTGCAGTTACACCCTTCTCGTTTGTAAGGCCATCTCTTGGCTAGAACATAACCTGTTAACTTTTTTGGATTACAAACTTCCAAAGCAGTCTCTATCGATAGGAGTCGCATTTGACATGCAGTAGGGGGAACACAATCATTTAATAATTCATTATGCGTTCCGACGAACTCCAGTAATGAATGCGCTTTAGTCAAGCTAGCTGAAGAGTTTGAATAAATTTAGATAACTTCTGTAACTTACAAATATTGTATTTAGGCGATGCAATGACCATTAAAAGAACGGATTTGTGTTTCAAGTTTTTATGACTAAAAAAGCAAAAAATAGTCTAAATACACCCAAAATTTACGATCCATACTCAAGAGCTTATTAATTTCTTTCTAAAAAGCCTCTAAGAAGGAAAGGGATCAAAAGGCCATTGAGTGATTACATTTCCCAAAGCGTTATTAGCATAGAGAGATTTGTTTAATCGTCAGACTGATGAAAAAGGCACTGTTTACTGCACTTACAAATGTCTGACCTTAGACTAAAAAGGATTCTTTTTTTTCCGCTAGACGACATGGAAAATAATTAGCCTCATTATTAATGTCAAGTCAATTTGTTCAACCTGACAAAGGACTACAATGGCGTGGTGGCGAAAGAAAGGCGAAGAATGTATTTATAATCACCATTTTCAAAACCTAAGTGAATAATTTGGAGTAATTTTGGTATTTGTTTTAGATCGGAAAGTAATGCCACTTCGCCATACGCAAGTAGAATATATATTCGACCCACAGAAGAACTTGGGGGCTACTGACGATATGGCCCAGAGGCCAGCCCACCCGGCGAAGGTATAATAATGGGACCCGTCTTTTGTCCCTTTACCACATCAGAGAATTAAACATTCAACCTATTACATGGCCCCTATCCTCTTGAAAGCGGTATCCTCGACCTTCTCATTGGTCAGCCTCCTGCGTTGGCCAGCACAACGAAGTCGGTCCTGTAAGAAAACACCTACAGACCAGCCTAATCAGCCATCAAATTTCCATACAACTAAAGTGATACATAACAGCAATTTCACTGATCCCGCATAGTAATTCTCCTAGATGCGGAATTTCGCTCTGTATGGGAACTGCACTGGGGAAAGAGAAATACGCTGACCACCACGCGCGTCAGTGGCTAGTCTTAGAAACATTAGCCTAGAAGCAGAATCAAATAATAAAGGATGATTTTGAACATGGTTCTGTGGGGGCTAAGTTTCCATTCCAGACCTCCTTGCCACTTTGTTCTCACTTCAGTGCTGCTCAGATAGATATTAATTTCGGTCCCATCCAGCCAGTAGAGAGGTGAAGGAGGTATCGCATGACCACACAACTGACACAGTCATACAGGTGCTATAGACAGTTCTGTAGCACACTTTTCCTAGATGATTCATGGCCACGGCTAGCGTAGCTGCAGTTGTTAATAGCATTCCAGAAGACTGAAGGACTGTAGTAGATACCGAAGGTGGGCGTCTTGTTTGTCACAGATTCTCCCATCTGCAGCATATGCCCTTCTTCCATCACGCTAAGAATCAGCATTCGGAAATGGAAATCAGGCTAATTGTCTCTTGGGATAGGGTTTGCTTTCCGCTTCTACTAATATAGAGCCCCTAGACTTCTCTGAAGAAGAAAGGAGACAATACTCGGGCAAAATATGCATTGTCAAAATGCAGAAGGGATTAAGACTACTGGCATCGCTGAAAGGCTAGGCCGCCCGTAGGCAGTGGAATGGCAGAGCCCTTGAGAGGCCTCTTCATTAAACCCGAGAGTTAAATTACCAACTTATTGCAAAAATATTTCGGGACTAATACTGACAAATAATGTCTATTCGATGTCAAAGTTGTCATCGTTGCGTGACTTGAAGCTTGATTAAGTCCTCATTTTCTTACAGTTACATGAGGTCGGTGGCTATATGCTTTCACTTTCTTACTAGTCTCTGCCTTCAGCTGCGCAACATAAAATAAGTTGAGGTCTTCAGATTCCAAACGTTGTAATAACCGAAGAAAAGTGTTAGTTTTCCAAAATGTCAATTTTAGCAAAACAACTGCCTCGCCATTCAAATGCGATGAAGATATTTGAAATATGGCTTCATTCATAGATGTTTTTTTCCAACACCCTTCCACTTTACAGCAAAATTTCATCAGTCGACATTTAGCGCTAAAATATGTAGCCACATGTACATGTTAACCAACGAAAAACACCCATTTATTTGAATAGACACGTTATCTGAAACACTATCGCCCTAGGGAATCACAAGCAACCGTATACCTCAAAATATTTTGCCCCTTCAGTGAAAAAAAACATTAGCGGCTTTCTCAGGGCGTGAGGAGAAAATGTTGGTAGGAAGTAGTATGGATAAGGAGATAAACACGCGCCAAACAATGTGATTCACCAGATGCGGTCATGCGAATTCTTCACATTACATCCTCGGGTCACTCGCTATACATGTGAGAAAACGAGTCATGTGAGGATCAAACTTGACCGAAACTCGTTTTCTTGGATCCGCTTAGAGATACTGTGGCATATAACTACCCCAAAAACTATCGTTAGAAATTTGTGTGGATATCAATTTAGTTAAAGTCACCATAGAAAACTTTTTGAGGCCTGTTTTACCACACTTAGTAATTAGTCTGATTAAACCAACGAAAATGTGCGCCTAGCAGTGTTGAAGACTAGCATACACATACTACATGGACAAACCTTGGAAACAATTCACAAAAGGAGAGTGGAAGTTGAAAAGATGTTTTGATTTAAAAGTCCCAAAAAGGTTTGCTAGTAAATACCCTTTGATGCACCCATTTTACTGCTTGATTTAGATAAGCATATAAGGGTACACGTTTTAAAGGGTTGTTAACTTACACCGAAAAAAAATGTAAATGTAGTTAATTCTATTTCACCTTCGAAATGGGGAGGATTTCGAGGTAAAAAAAATGTATTAGTCCTCAACCGCCAGTAATATCAGTTTGCTTTTTTATATTAACTAATAGAATAGTATGACGTTGAATGCTTCTTTCGTCAAAGCAAGTTAATTGAAGCTATAGCACTCCGAGACTTACTTGAAGACAAAAAGAAATAATAGTGCTTGGACAAAATATGCAATGTCGACATGCAGAAGGGATTGAGACCACTGGCATAGTCGAAAGGTCAGCCTACCCAGAGGGGGTGGAGTGCGGAACACCCAAGTGGCCCCTTTGTCAAAAACATGAAGCTAAACTAGCAAACAATGCGTTACTAAACAATTGGAGTAGTTGATAATATCAGTCGAGAGCGCCAATAAATTCTGAAAGTGTAAATTGGGTTACGTGAGGCGTGCTTGGACCCATTAAAATATTTGGCCATAATTAAAAATAACAGAAATTGTTGTTCTATATTGGCCTGGGAACAAATGATAATTGACACAATTCGTTGCCTTAGCTCACACATCTTTCAACGATACTATTTACAGTAGGAGCTAGTCAGTCAAGCAGGCTAATTTTTTTTGAATTCAAAGGGTATACCTCTATGCTTCAATTCGTCCCTAAATACGCTTTAATGCAGCTAGGGAGGTAGCAGTAGTCCCTTATCAGCATTCAAAAAGTTCAGAGACAGGTGGACGGGATTGAGGGAACATTCTATCGAAATGCTAGTAGAACCTGTTATATTCCCTTTTTAAATGCGAGAATTTTCAAAAACAAGGAATCCTAACTTACCTTTTAAGGAAGTTGTTTAATCCAAAAATTTTCTATTTTTCTCAAGAATCAGTCCAGTCATTTTCATTTAGGATAACAAGCACCACTTCTTGCCTAGAGATGCAAATTTTAACTTGGCACTGACAGACGCCGCAAAACCATTTTAAGGGAACAAAATCACTTTACTAACATATTTAGACTTTGCTTTCCTTTGTGTAAGCAAGTCTGTCTCCGAAACAAACAGGCCTCTTCCCTGTGATCCTCATAAACATGCATGTCTGAGGGAGAGAAGTTAGCACCCGCTATACAAAAAACAGCGCCAGTATAAAACTCAGGCAGTTTATAACGCACAATTCCCAAATGTACAGATTTTTAAAGAACAGCACGACACTGCTTTATCACCCCTCTCCGCCAGGCCGGCCACACATGCAGTGACTTGACCCGAGAATCGACGTCCCTCCCCTAGTCGGGAGGCTGTCAACATGTTACAAGGTAGTTGTTTGTCTGTTTCTTCATGCGTGGAATAGCCTACCCCAACTTCTTAATTGAGTAGATTGTTAACAAAATGTGACATTATTACTGGAAAAAGGCGCAATGCTGATTTTTTTGTGGAAAAAAAGAGGAGGGTAATGTAAGTGCCACTCACAACAAGACTTTTCTGGCAGTCTCACGCTGAACTTTTTTATCGTAATGTAAAAGGAGGAGATGAAAGTCTTTAAAAAGCGAAAATTTGGGAGAAGTTATTAATAATTTAAGTGGTTTATTAATCACCATAGTTGACAAAATAAAAATCAAACTAACTGAAGGAATGATTGTCAGCAAGTGAACGAATCAAAATTAACATGTTTATTTTTATTGAAGTAAATTATAGAGCTGTCGCTTTTATTCAACCTCCGACCAAAAAATCGAAAAGAAGGAGACCTGGCTTATAGAAATAACGTGTTTTGAAAGAGAACAGAGGACTTGAAAGAACCCGGACAAATCTGCCTAGTGGTATTTTTCAGCCACCGAAATACAGATTCAGAAAATTAGTCACTTTCACAAAACCCACTCATAATGCGATTGTCCTTTAGGTATCCCGGATTTGGGTCCCTTCATACCAACTGGAACACAGTGGATTACCGATTCATCAAACGTAAAAGTGGTCACTACACCAACAAATTTTCCCCAAAATCTTAACCTTTCCGTACAGAATCACACAAAATTGACGAAGGTATACATCCTTAGGTTTGGGTAGGTTTGATACAAACATCTTTAATTACGCAATCCGTAATTACACTGAAACGACGCGAAAATTAAACATTGACACTAACACCGTCACCGGTACCCACATTTCGCCAAGTCCGGATTGTGGGCCACGGAGACTGCGATGACTCACTTCAACGCCGTGCTCTAGGAGAACCAAATCCGCCTCAAGCGTCTTTATCGTCGGAGGCGCGTTCGAGAGGCTCATAGTGTAACTACGCCTCACCTCCCAACTCCTATGTTTGTGCTGCTGCGGTCTGCGCGAAAAGAATTCGCGCACGTATGCTCACTGTAAGGAGGTGTTTTTTGGCCAGGGGAAAGGAGTTCAGGATACTTACTGTCATTTTGTGGGTTTGTTTCAACCAGACAACATAGACGATTCTGAGACTGATAGGACAGTCGGATTTTGATATCTTATAGGGAATCCACCAACATTTGTGATACTGTATAATAAAATGACTATTTAAGTGGAAAAGCACGTTGACAATTTCCTCTTATCTACCCGAAGTAGGAGTGTGTTTTATTTCCCTTTTACTTGGATCGACAGTGGCAATTTCCGCCTTACGCTGAGAGGTGAAGATGTTTACCTGAGGAAGGCAAACGCTTAATTTACTTTTGTAAAGCGAGCCTCAGAGGTGGCAGAGTCGAATCCTCTGGTCTCTGCCAAGGTAGCATTCTGTATGGTTACAATGCGCAACTTCACTACAAGCACTCTGTGCAGTAGCAAAGAAAGCGAATCATGTGCTGATTCGGAAGTCAGAAAGCATACATATTCGCGGAAATAATATTTCAGTGGTCCCTCGTAAGGTATGCATAAAACCACAACCGCAAATGCGATACCTCCATCTGGTCATGGAATTTATCTACAAAACCATCACTGCTAAAACCAGCCTTGCGCAGAGACTAAGCAAAACGCATTGTTGAAAACATTTGGAAAGGACAAATATTCTCAGTAGTACATTTTTTGCGGTTCGTAAAAATTGCGTTTTTGTTAATAATGTCAGTAAAAATGCTCAACTATATTCACAAATTAGGAAAAGTGCATTAATATAATGGGAAAGTTTAGTAAAAACCTAAGAGCATGTCTCATAAACAACTAAGAATTACGAGTTACCTGTGGTACAAGTTAATTGATTTGGTTCTATTGTCCTTTTAAAAACAATCAAAAATCTTTTTGTACTTGCATATGAAGAGTCAAGATAATATCTTATCACTTCTTGAATTTGTTCATAAAATATTTGGCAAACAATTTCATGTTCAGTTTTGATATGAGGCAACGACTGCAGCTCCCTGAGCCTTTCTTAAGGACGAAAGAAGGCATAATATTTGGGCAGAATAAGCATTGCAGACGTACAAGAGGGCTATGGGCTACGTTCATGGCCTGGAGGCCAGTCCACTCGGTGAAAGTACAATGGTGGAGACACAAAGTGACCCCTTACCAAAAGTGAGAGCTAAACAAACTGCCAAAGTATTACGTAGCGTCCCTCTCCCTTTAAGCATCATCTCCGACACTTCCCGTAATTAACCTCCAGCGTCGACCATCAAAACGAGGTTGGTGCTTTAAAAAAATACTCACAGATCAACCGTGCCACTCAGCAAAATTCCCTACAATTGAGGAGATACTTAACCACTGATCTCTCATGGAAATTCCACGGGATCTACAGTTTCATCCTGTATAAGAACTGCATTGGCCATCACGCGTGTCAGTGGCTAGTCGCAGGAACACTGACCCAAATACAGAGTCGAACAACAAAGGAAGGGGCTTGAAATAGTTTCGTGGAGATAAGTTTTTGCGCCTATTCCTCCTCGTCACTTCACTCGCATTTCAGTGCTGCTTAGACATGTATCTAACTGGCTTCGATCTAGTTAGTAGAGAGGAACATGAGGTATCGCGTGTTCACTTCATTGATATCTTCATCTAGGTACTACAGGCAGTTCCGTAATAAACTTTTTCAATTGTTAATGGTTAGTGCCACCTCAATTGTTAATAGCATTGTCGTCAAATTCGAAATTGAGGTAGTTTTCGGGGCTTGGCGTCATCCTTGAACCTCCTGCTAGAAGTCTCCACAGATTCTCGCATCTGCAACATATGTCCTTTTTCCTAAACGTTAAGGTTTGGCAAACAGCAATAGAAATCAGGTTAGCTATCCTTGAGTATCGGGTGTAGTTTCCGCTACCATTATTGTTGCTTCCCGAGTTGTCCCTGAAGTTGAATCAAGGCATAATAATGGGGAGGGGTGTGTATTTTGGACAAAGGGAAGGACTGCGGGGCTACTGGCGTGGTACAGGGACCAAGCCACCTAGAAGAAGTACAGTGGCGGAGTCTTAAGCGCCCGAAAAACCAAAGCGAATAGCTAAACAAAATATTAAAGTATTACAATGGCATTGGAGGATTTACCGAATGAGGTTTTCTTCTTACCTGAGTTGATGATTCTAGATATGAAGAAAGCTTATAACCAATACAATTAAATATTTAACGATGGAACCAGAGGAACTGGTTTCAAAACTATTTCCCTTGTTTTTAGGGCAGGTTACTTTGATCGACTAGAGGTGATCGTCATTGACTACCACTGATATCACTTGATTAGCATTTCATTTATAACTCCTTTAAATTGTCCAATTAAAATCACTAATAACCTAGCACATGTATGTTAGTTAGATCATTTACAATTTTTTTCTACCCACACGATAAGGAACACCTCTGTGCCTATTTAGATGTGGAGAGAGTGCGTATTCAAAATGACAGACTTGCTTGATTAAATAATGCATTAAAAATGTCGGCTTGCAAATAAAGATAAAGTGTTGCAGACTGAGAAACAAAAAATCTAAACTATCAGCCATCGTCAAGGAAAAAAGGCAAAATTTTGGGGCACCTCTAAGTAATACAGTACGAGTTAGTGCAATTAAAGGTTGTGATCTTGCGGTTGTGGATGAGACGACAAATGAAAAGTACACCTGTGTCAGTGGCGTTAACTTTGGCGAGCGCCAATGGGGATGGATGTGGCACTCTGTTTGGACATTAACAGCCTTCAAGTTTTTCCTAGCGGAAGAATGCTTATACCCAATAGCTCCTCCATGATCACAAGTAACAGCTGACTGTTAACCCACTTGAGACTTCGCCGTTAAAACTAATTGTTACACTTTTACTCAACTTTTATTTGTTTGAAACTTTTTTAAAAAAAATTACTCATTTTATTATCGGAGGATCTTTCCTTAACTTGTTTTCGTCCTGTAATCTTGTCAATTGAGAAACGCCACAGAATGTCTCCCCAATCGGAAAATAAAAGGATTTTCCACCAAAACTTTTAGTCAGAAATAGAAAGCTAGCAATAGTTTAAAGTCATTACTTAAAATTTCGTTATTAATTTTGCTTCTTTATTTATGAATTAGCTGTCACGTAGGGGTCAATTTCTCTCATGGTTGGGACGATTGTCGAGTAGTCATTGCAGCTTAATTGAAGCAAATCGGCCCAACTTTTTTTTTGTTTTAAATGTCATTCTAGTGGATGTTGTCACTGAAGAATTTGAAATGCCAAGGTTGCCAAATGGCCTATTCATATTAACCATCATCAATCAAGGTCAGTGTCTACCTTACTTTTGCTGCTGGATGTTTAGTATCTTAATGGTTTCGGGAGAATCCTATTACTACTAAAAATGTTCAAACAATTGGTAGTGTTAAAATCTGATTGCATGAAACTCTTATCTCACTCACATTGCAAAAAGTGTTGCAAAGCCCTGTGCCTGTCAGTTAGTATTTACAAGACGATAGGTCATCTGCCCCCTTTTCTCAAACTCCTATAGCTTAATTAGCGACATTTTCTGCCTTTTATGATGCAGCAAAAAATAATTTTGGACTGAGCTGTGATCACTATGTAGTCACACATCAGGCGCCCACCCACCATTTGTAGCATTATTTGGGTGAAATTTTAATAAAATGTCGAATAAGTCGGGCTTACATCAACTGTTACATGAAGTAACACGTTTACGCAGGTGTTTACGCTTCAGTATGCTGAAATAAAGGTGGGTTCCAACGCTGATGGTGTTTGATCCAGCTCAGTGATGCGTCCTATGCCATCGCTATTCACTTAAGCACTGAACGGGCTGCCCTTTGATTTTATTAGCGGACAATGAGTAAATTTGTATTTTTGACTGTTTAGATGGTATTCTAGTCTCCCTTCGAGTGATACAACAGGCTGCTGTATTAGTACGGGTTAAGCCTGCAACCGCATCTCGGGGATTGCATTCCATCTACTGCACGACAGTTTGGTCTTGGTACAAGTGATAGAAGGCGGTGCATTCAAACTAAAACGTACAGCATACTGTATGAAAACCTACAAAAATGAATAAGTGCTTTAACTTTTTGGTTTTTTGTGTCTTTAGGTGTACGCTCTAAAATGAGGAAGTTAACGCCAGCAATCCATTGAGTGAAGATCCAACAATTGGATGAATGACTTCTCCGGCAAATTGTCACCATTTATTCAAAATTACACCTGAATGGACGCAATTTTGGTGCCAAAACATTACAAGTGCAAACCAGTTGCATAAACTTTTCATTAAATTACAGTAAACAAGTAATCTTGCACAACAAGCGGAACTAGTAAATGTGCGTCAACTCTCTGATTGCCTTGTGTCTCAAAAAGCACTCGCACAACTTACACCAAAATTTCTGTCCATCAACCCATGTAGGAGACAGAATTGAGTTTCGGAAAATGAAAACAGTCTTATCTATCGCACTTTTGCGTTATCTTTTAATATTCTTGGATATCATTCTAAATGTGACCCAAATACAATTAGTAAATTAGAAGTGGAAATCGGATGCAGAGTATAGTAAATCACATGCGTTAAATAAATGATGTACAACACACAAATGCCCATTCACAAACCAGTAGATATCAGTTCAACTACCAACATGACTTCTGTAGAATAGATTGAGGACGTTTGAAATATGAGTAGGGATTCTTGGTCCCTTTGTCTGGAAATCCATGCCTTGGAGTGGAATAATCGCTAACGCTCCCAAACGAACCGTGCCGCTAGCAGGAAAGCATTTCTTAAACAAACGAAACTCGAAAAAGACCTAATTTTCTATGCAAATCACAAAAAATAATTGCTGCAGGAACCCTTTTTTCTCTGCCTCTAAGTTCTTTTTAACATACTCTCTTGAATATTTTAATATTTTTTTACTTCCTTTATTATAATTTACAACCTCTCAAAGTCGTTTAAGTTACTCAAAGCGATTTTCATAGTTTAGTGGTCAGTCTGCTAGAAAGAGGGTGATTAAATCACATTCATTCCCGAAGAGCGGCTTCATTATATGCAGGTTTGATAATTATTATTTTTACTACCTATTTTTCAAAAGCATTTTTTGACTCGAAAACCGAGGGTCTCAAGACTGCAAGCATTTAATCCTATGTTCATACAAGACTTCCGTTGCCATTGAATATGCTAGTATGTTCGGTAACAACGCAGAGTCCACGGTGTTTTTCGAGGTCGGGCCAGTTTGGGAAAACGGGATGAAGTGGTATCTGCAATGCTGCAGGCTGTTTTCTTTCAAGTTACTGTACCCACAGCATTACACAAAACAACTTTCATTGATGATGGAAAAAAGCTGCTAGGACGCACGAATCGGTGGCACTATGAAACCTTTCAAGTGCCGTTCAAATTATACGAGCAAAACAGCATGACTACCAGATGTTGTTGTGCACACGAAATATTCATGTCGCTTGGAACAGCGGTAAAATTAATAAATGAAAAAAATATATTAATGTTGCATCCTCTGGCTATATGCGCATTCACATATCTGATTTACAATAGTCCGTACGTAGTTCATTTAAACTTACCTGAAGACAAACGTTGTTATGCGGACAAGACACAAGAAAGCATATTTATCACTTTCAAGACATCTACACGGAAGTAATAACCAACTGTCCTTTTGCCATTTTACGATCTTCTTTGTACTTTCTTGCATGTGTATCAACGACCGCCAGCGTTGATATCACCACGGCATTAAGCCAATTACACGTACCTGGTCCGGGCCATCTCATCTATTCCAGGCAGTGGGTTTTATGTTCGGGGTGGGCCAGTTTCTCGACCCCGAAAGTTGTAAAAAAAACAAGAAATAAGCATATTGCAATTTTAATTAACGTTGGCTTTAAAAAAGGTTTGGAGTACAATGTGAAACACTACAAAAAATTTTACTGAGATTTCAAACAAGACCACTGTTTTTGTGAAGCCAAGTAAGAAGTTAACCGAGGGTAAAATCGGCTTAATTGAGAGAAGTTTTTGGTTGTAAATAACCAGTGAATCAGTAGTAAAGAACCAGCATATAAATTGCCAATGAAATGCGAATAAAAACGTGTCTCATTATGCTTTGTGGTAGGCTTGATGCGACTTATTTTGAGTCAGGTCTTGACAATCCCGCATTTTTTTTCAATTTATCTTTCAAGAGAGACTTGTTTTAACTATCAACAATAACCAAAATACTCCTAATTTTTAAATAAAGTAATAATTTAATATAACATCAGGTGAATACCTTAGATTCTGCTTCCTGTTTACAAAAACTAATGAAGTGTGGGTGGGGGTATTACACGGATGCTACTGCTACGAAAGTCAAACAGCATCCCCATTCATTTATAAATCAGTGAAGTCGAGAAAAACGCTTCAAAGCGATAATTACGTTAGAATACTAATGAAATCAAAGGCACAGAATGTTGAGTAAAAACCAAAATCCAGGCTACTTGGCAATTTGCTTGTCGGAAGAAAGCTGAAGATAAGGGGATGCTATTTTTGTCGAAGAAACAAGGGAAGATGTTAGCGATAGTGGCGATACAAGCAGTAAAGTGCCAAAATTAAAAGTATATGCCTCCTTTTACGTCACACAAAGCCAGAAATTATAAATTGACGAAAGTGATTAATTAAAAGTCGGAGAAAACATTTTAAGAAATGATGAAGAAGGTATAAGTAAAATTAATGATTGTCACCATAGTAAAGCTGCACCTTAAAATTTGCCTAGATTTTTTGTCAAAGTGTCTACTACAAAACAAACGAAAAGAAGTGGTTTGATTTACAAAAGGCTTAAATATAACTGCAGTATAAATTTACCTTGGTTATTTGGTTAACTCTTTGTTTTGGTTACTCAGATGCTAAAGGGCTCGGCCTCTGTACTTCCACCCGGTGGCAGCGAAAGTCAAATACGATCCCAAACGCACAGCCATGTGGATTTCTATAAATGAATCCTATTTTTTCAAATGATGGAAGAAGAGCATATGCTGCGGATAAGAGAATATGTGAGGACCCCTAACATAAAGGCTAAAAAGAAGGTCTGCCTTTGGCATCTGCCGCAGCCCCGTGACAAATGAAACGATACTAGCCGTGAGCTATTTGAAAAAGTTAGTTTCGGAACTAATTGCGGTACCTGCATGAAGGAGTCAATCAAATGAATAGTTCATACCTCTTCCGCCTCCCTGCTAGCTGGGTAGAATCTAGCTAGATGGAAAAATAGCTAGCCAGCACTGAACTGAGATGGAAGAGGCGAGAAGGAATAGAAGCGAAACCATATCCTCAGGAAACTTTCATACCCGGTTCCCTATTAAATGGTTTTGCTTTAAGGCCGGTGTTCCTACGACTAACGATTAACAGGAGTGATATCCAGCACATTTTTCTCCCCTCAATACATTTTCCAAGCAGGACAGAACTCCAGTTGCATGGGATTTCGACGACTGGGAGGGTTACTTCGTGGGTGTGTTCTTACAGCACCGATTACCTTGTAATGGCTGACGCGGAAGGGTGACTACTAGGAGCGTCGGAAATGAAGCTCAAAAGGGGAGGAATGCTGTGTAATGCTTC